ATGATGAAGAGATTCCTAGGCCGTTGACAACAGAAGATAACAGCTGATTCCCGTTTGGCCTTAATATCATTTAATTCACAAGATATCATCCCTCATTTCGAGGGAAAACGAGCTGAGACTTTTGCAAAAATGAGTCCCATCTATGAGGATATTCGTCATATGACGGGTAAAAGCTTAGTTAGTTTTTGCCTAAAATGAGGGTGGATTTTTCGTGGAATGTGCCAACCTGAATGCCATATTTCTAACCGGCTGCAGTACAAAGAGAATCTGTCGTTGCCTTCTAGTGAGACCGACGTACAAGTCTCTTTATGCTATTTTTTACATTTTTTGGACTTAAGACAGTTTTTTCCTGGTTTTATCGAGTAATATTTTAACTTGTTTAAGAGTTACTTAGTAACTTAGTTTCATCTTTTAACTCAGATCCTATTTGTCTCTGGATTGGAAATACCATAAAACTTCGAAGCTGTTCTCTTCATTCTGCCCCTGGCCATTGTAAATTACGTAAAAGTCTCTTTTGTTTTTGCTTTCTCTGTGAGAGGAACTTGGAGACTCCATGTCCTATCCTGCTATCACTTTGACTGAGTCTCTCTTTAATTGTCAACACACTATAAAATACTGATGCAATGCAGCCATTTGTCACTACTTTGTTTGCCTTCTTATAATTATTACCTTGTCCATTTGTATTACCTCTCACCTAATACCCCAACCACAAACTACTTGCCCTCTATAAATTTAGTTTTATTCGCTGACGGTATTCAATTGTCTTGTTTCCAATGTCAACCTAATATTTTCCCCTAAATACCACACCTTATGCAATTTCGTGTCTTTGAGCTATATTTTAATCAAATTTTCTAACTCCTTTCCTCACCCTGAACTGACTTTACATCGTAATTTTTCGTGCTGCATGGAGTAGACCAAACTTGACCGTACCTTCAACAACCACTTATTTATTCCCTTTCTTCTCCTAGTGAGAGTATTATGCGGGCGGCTTGCGCTCTCGTTGATGACACTCAACAGCTGGTAAGTGGAGCTGGAATCGACGAGAACCACCTACAGTTGGCCGACTCTACAAGGGCTGCAGTTGCAAACATCACAAAATTGGCTGATGTCGTCAAACGCAGTGCTGCTGCCATCGGGCCCGGCCACCCCGACATGCAGGTAAGACTCGACCCACTTTGCTACTTTCGTTGAGTTTTCTCTTAGTCTAGACCGATCGGGACGGAGTACTAACCTAGTGGCTTACATCTCTGGTATCCTGTATAATCAATTTGGT